TGGATGATGGATCAGCTTCAAAGTAACAACACTTGGTCAGCACCTCATAAGGAACATTCATGCTATGTTTGGTTTCATTCCATTCAGTGGTTCTCTAAATGAAAACGTTTGTATGTATTTCCCAATTAGGGTCCCATGTTAAACTAAGTCCCCTGCTGGCTGCCATCTTGGATTATGGATCGGCTTCAAAGTAACAACACTTGGTCAGCTCCTCATAAGAAACATTCATGCCATGTTTGGTTTCATTATATTCAGTGGTTCTCTAAAAGAAGACATTTGTATGTATTTCCCATAGGGTCCAATGTCAAACTAAGTCCCCTGCTGGCGGCCATCATGGATGAAGGATCAGCTTAAAAGTAACAACACTTGGTCAGCACCTCAAAAGGAACATGCATGCCATGTTTGGTTTCATTCCATTCAATGGTTCTCTAAAAGAAAACATTTGTATGTATTTCTCATAAGGTCCTATGTTAAACTAAGTCCCCCGCTAACGGCCATCTTAGATTATGGATCAGCTTCATAGTAACAACACTTGGTCAGCACCTCATAAGGTACATTCACGCCATGTTTGGTTTCATTGCATTCAGTGGTTCTCTAAAAGAAGACATTTGTATGTATTTCCCATAGTCTCCTATGTTGAACTAAGTCCCCCGCTGGCAGCCATCTTGGATGATGGATCAGCTTCAAAGTAACAACACTTGGTCAACACCTCATAAGGAACATTGCTGCTATGTTTGGTTTCATTCCATTCAGTGGTTCTCTAAAGGAAGACGTTTGTATGTATTTCCCAATTAGTGTCCCATGTTAAACTAAGTCCCCTGCTGGCGGCCATCTTGGATTATAGATCGGCTTCAAAGTAACAACACTTGGTCAGCACCTCATAAGAAACATTCATGCCATGTTTGGTTTCATTATATTCAGTGGTTCTCTAAAAGAAGACATTTGTATGTATTTCCCATAGGGTCCAATGTTAAACTAAGTCCCCTGCTGGCTGCCATCTTGGATTATGGATCGGCTTCATAGTAACAACACTTGGTCAGCACCTCATTAGGAACATTCATTCCATGTTTGGTTTCATTCCATTCAGTGGTTCTCTAAAAGAAAACATTTGTATGTATTTCTCATAGGGTCCTATGTTAAACTAAGTCCCCTGCTAACGGCCATCTTAGATTATGGATCGGCTTCATATATAGTAACAACACTTGGTCAGCACCTCATAAGGAACATTCACGCCATGTTTGGTTTCATTCCATTCAGTGGTTCTCTAAAAGAAGACATTTGTATGTATTTCCCATAGTCTCCTATGTTAAACTAAGTCCCCCGCTGGCAGCCATCTTGGATGATGGATCAGCTTCAAAGTAACAACACTTGGTCAGAACCTCATAAGGAACATTCATGCAAAGTTTGGTTTCATTCCATTCAGTGGTTCTCTAAAAGAAAACATTTGTATGTATTTCCCTTAGTCTCTTATGTTAAACTAAGTCCCCCGCTGGCAGCCATCTTGGATGATGGATCAGCTTCAAAGTAACAACACTTGGTCAATACCTCAAAAGGAACATTCATGCTATGTTTGGTTTCATTCCATTCAGTGGTTCTCTAAAGGAAGACGTTTGTATGTATTTCCCAATTAGGGTCCCATGTTAAACTAAGTCCCCTGCTGGCGGCCATCTTGGATTATAGATCGGCTTCAAAGTAACAACACTTGGTCAGCACCTCATAAGAAACATTCATGCCATGTTTAGTTTCATTATTTTCAGTGGTTCTCTAAAAGAAGACATTTGTATGTATTTCCCATAGGGTCCAATGTTAAACTAAGTCCCCTGCTGGCGGCCATCTTGGATTATGGATCGGCTTCATAGTAACAACACTTGGTCAGCACCTCATTAGGAACATTCACGCCATGTTTGGTTTCATTGCATTCAGTGGTTCTCTAAAAGAAGACATTTGTATGTATTTCCCATAGTCTCTTATGTTAAACTAAGTCCCCCGCTGGCAGCCATCTTAGATGATGGATCAGCTTCAAAGTAACAACACTTGGTCAGCACCTCATAAGGAACATTCATGCAATGTTTGGTTTCATTCCATTCAGTGGTTCTCTAAAGGAAGACGTTTGTATGTATTTCCCAATTAGGGTCCCATGTTAAACTAAGTCCCCTGCTGGCGGCCATCTTGGATTATGGATCAGCTTCATAGTAGCAACACTTGGTCAGCATCTCATTAGGAACATTCATGCCATGTTTGGTTTCATTCCATTCAGTGGTTCTCTAAAAGAAGACATTTGTATGTATTTCCCATAGGGTCCCATGTTAAACTAACTCCCCAGCTGGGGGCCATCTTGGATTATGGATCGGCTTCAAAGTAACAACACTCGGTCAGCACCTCATAAGAAACATTCATACTATGTTTGGTTTCATTCCATTCAGTGGTTCTCTAAATAAGACATTTGTATGTATTTCCCATAGGGTTCTATGTTAGTTAAACTAAGTCCCCCACTGGCGGCCATCTTGGATAATGGATCAGCTTCAAAGTAACAACACTTGGTCAGCACCTCATAAGGAACATTCATGCCTTGTTTCGTTTCATTCCATTAAGTGGTTCTCTAAAAGAAGACATTTGTATGTATTTCCCGTAGGGTCCTATGTTAAACTAAGTCCCCCGCTGGTGGCCATCTCGGATAATGGATCAGCTTCAAAGAAACAACACTTGGTCAGCACCTCATAAGGAACATTCATGTCATGTTTGGTTTCATTCCATTTAGTGGTTCTCTAAAAGAAGACATTTGTATGTATTTCCCAAAGGGTCCTATGTTAAACTAAGTCCCCCGCTGGCAGCCATCTTGGATGATGGATACGCTACAAAGTAACAACACTTGGTCAGCACCTCATAAGGAACATTCATGCCATGTTTGGTTTCATTCCATTCAGTGGTTCTCTAGAAGAAGTTCAAAATGTAAAAAGTTAACGACAACGACGGAAAACGACGGACGACAGACACCAAGTGATGAGAAAAGCTCACTTGGCCCTTCTGGCCAGGTGAGCTAAAAAAGGGGGGTTGGGGTGACCCCAGGGGACTCCCCCTCAGTTTCATTTGATTTGTTTTATTGTCCCATTCAAGAATACATATGTTTTAGGGGTGGGGATCTCGCCTGTTTACAAGTTTTCAAAAAGAAGGGGGTGGGGGTGACCCCCATGGACTTCCCCTATATATCATTTGATTTGTTTTATTGTCCCATTCAAGAATATATATGGTTTAGGGGTGGGGATCTCGATGGTTTACAAGTTCTTAAACAGGATGGGGTGGGGTGACCGCAGGGGACTCGCCTATTATTTCATTAGCTTTGTTTTATTGTCCCATTCAAGAATGTATATGGTTTAGGGGTGGGGATCTTGACCCTTTACAAGTTATCAAAAAGAAGAGGGGTGGGGGTGACCCCACTGGACTTCCCCTATATTTCATTTAATTTGTTTTATTGTCCCATACAAAAAATACACACGGTTTAGGGGTGGGGATCTCAACCATTTACAAGTTCTCAAAATGAAGGGGGTGGTGGTGACCCCAGGGGACTCGCCTTTTATTTCATTTGATTTGTTTTATTGTCCCATACAAGAATATATATAGTTTCAGGGTGGGGATCTCGACCGTTTACAAGTTTTCAAACAGGAGGGGGTGGGGGTGACCCCAGGGGACTCACCTTCAATTTCTTTTGATTTGTTTTATTGTCCCATACAAGAATATATATGGTTTCGGGGTGGGGATCTTGACCGTTTACAAGTTTTCAAAAAGAAGGGGGGTGGGGTTACCCCAGAGGACTTCCCTTCATTTTCATTTGATTTGTTTTATTGTCTCATTCAAGAATATATACGGTTTAGGGTGGGGATCTTGACCATTTACAAGTTATCAACAAGAAGGGGGGTGGAGGTTACCCCCATGGACTTCCCTTATATATCATTTGATTTGTTTTATTGTCCCATTCAAGAATGTATATGGTTTAGGGGTGGGGATCTTGACCCTTTACAAGTTATCAAAAAGAAGAGGGGTGGGGGTGACCCCACTGGACTTCCCCTATATTTCATTTGATTTGTGTTATTGTCCCGTACAAGAATATATATGGTTTAGGGGTGGGGATCTCGACTGTTTTCAACTTCTCAAACAGGAGGGGGTGGGGGTGACCCCAGGGGAATCGCCTTTTATTTCATTTGATTTGTTTTGTTATCACATACAAGAATATATATGGTTTCAGGGTTGGGATCTTGACCGTTTACAAGTTTTCAAAAAGTAGGGGCTGGGGGTGAACCCGGGGACTCCCCAAATATTTCATTTGATTTGTTTTATTGTCCCATACAAGAATATATATGGTTTAGGGGTGGGGATCTCAACCGTTTACAAGATAAAAGCATATTCTTAAATTGAAAGGGGGTGGGGGTAAGAATATATATGGTTTAGGGAGACTTAATTATCTACAAAATGTCTAATATATACAGTCCTACAGATCTTATCAGGAAACAGAAAATTTTCAAATAAATCTGTCACTCCAATGATATTATATGCTAAGATATAACCCAGATCTGATTAATAATTAATAATGTAATTAACTTCAAAATGTCTAATAATATATCTTATAATCATTAACACTTAGAAATAGATAATTTTCAAATAAATCTTGTCATTCCAATATTTTGTTGTGAGATAAGACATTATGCTTAGTCATAAAAAAGATAACAAGAGTAAAATATTTAAAAATTCCACTTTTGGATATTAAAAATGGCGATAATTCACAAAGGAGATATACTAATATCTTGAAAATTGAACTAGACCTTCATTAAGTCCCAGGAAACAACATATTTAAATTTGAAAAAAATTTGTTAAAGCGTTTTCAGGTTATTCTGCTGATAAGCTGATTGGCAACCGCCAGTCTGCCCAGCCGCCCGCCGTATGTTACCATTTTAATAACCGATATTTCCTTCGAAAATCCGGTTAAAATTAATCAACACATATTTTACCTTTTCAGCATTCATCTTCCTCAATACCCCATCATCTTTCCTATAAAACAATGAAAATATAGAGAATGTAAAGTTGCCATCACAAAATAAAAAATACCATAATATGTCCCGTCAACGGGCGTATAACTACATATACATTGAGGTATTTGAGATAAATGTGTCTGAATATAAATGTCCAACAAAATAAAATAAAATGCTTCGCTGGGCGCAGCTTGATACGACCGCAGAGGTCGAACCCTGAACAGTTGGGGCAAGTATGGACACAACATTCAAGCTTGATACAGCTCTGAATTTGGATTGTGATTAAATATTTGACACAGCATAGGTTTCTGACACAGAAAGAATGTGGTCTAAGAACTTCAATTTTTTTAATTTACCTATTATGGTCCAATGTCCAAAATCAAAATACATGGTTAGATTCAGCATATCAAAGAACCCCATATATTCAATTTTTGTTGAAATCAAACAAAGTTTAATTTTGGACCCCAACTTGGACAAACTTGAAAACTGGTCCCATAATCAAAAATCTAAACACATGTTTAGATTCAGCATATCAAAGTACCCCAAGAATTCAATTTTTGTTAAAATCAAACAAAGTTTAATTTTGGACCCTTTGGACCTTAATGTAGACCAATTTAAAAAACGGGACCCAAAATTAAAAATCTAAAAACACGTTTAGATTTGGCATATCAAAGAACCCCAATAATTCAATTTTTGATGAAATCAAACAAAGTTTAATTTTGGACCCTTTTGACCACAATATGAACCAATTTGATAGCGGGCCTACAAAATAAAAAATCTAAATACATGGTAAGATTCAGCATATCAAAGAACCCCATATATTCAATTTTTGTTGAAATCAAACAAAGTTTAATTTTGGACCCCAATTTGGACCAACTTGAAAACTGGGCCAAAAATCAAAAATCTAAATACATGTTTAGATTCAGCATATCAAAGAACCCCATATATTCAATTTTTGTTGAAATCAAACAAAGTTTAATTATGGACCCCAACTTGGACCAACTTGAAAACTGGTCCCATAATCAAAAATCTAAACACATGTTTAGATTCAGCATATCAAAGAACCCCAAAAATTCAATTTTTGTTAAAATCAAACTAAGTTTAATTTTGGACCCTTTGGACCTTAATGTAGACCAATTTAAAAAACGGGACCCAAAATTACAAATCTAAATACACGGTTAGATTTGGCATATCAAAGAACCCCAATAATTCAATTTTTGATGAAATCAAACAAAGTTTAATTTTGGACCCTTTTGACCTCAATATGAACCAATTTGATAGCGGGCCCACAAATAAAAAATCTAAATACATGGTAAGATTCAGCATATCAAAGAACCCCATATATTCAATTTTTGTTGAAATCAAACAAAGTTTAATTTTGGACCCCAATTTGAACCAACTTGAAAACTGGGCCAAAAATCTAAAATCTAAATACATGTTTAGATTCAGCATATCAAAGAACCCCATATATTCAATTTTTGTTGAAATCAAACAAAGTTTAATTTTGGACCCCAACTTGGACCAACTTGAAAACTGGGCCCATAATCAAAATTCTAAACACATGTTTAGATTCAGCATATCAAAGAACCCCAAGAATTCAATTTTTGTTAAAATCAAACTAAGTTTAATTTTGGACCCTTTGGACCTTAATGTAGACCAATTTAAAAACGAGACCCAAAATTAAAAATCTAAATACACGGTTAGATTTGGCATATCAAAGAACCCCAATAATTCAATTTTTGATGAAATCAAACAAAGTTTAATTTTGGACCCTTTTGACCTCAATGTGGACAAAGTTGATAACGGGGCCCAAAAATCAAAAATCTAAATACATGGTTAGATTCAGCATATCAAAGAACCCCATATATTCAATTTTTGTTGAAATCAAACAAAGTTTAATTTTGGACCCCAATTTGGACCAACTTGAAAACTGGGCCCATAATCAAGAATCTAAATACACGGTTAGATTCGACATATCAAAGAACCCCAATAATTCAATTTTTGTTAAAATCAAACTAAGTTTAATTTTGGACCCTTTTGACCTTAATGTAGACCAATTTAAAAACGGGGCCCAAAATCCAAAAACTTAATACACGGTTAGATTCAGCATATTAAAGAACCCCAAGAATTCAAGAATAAAACCCCATTGAAATTGATCAAAAAATAAGCAATTTATACGAAGTATCTTCTTTTGCACAATACTGTGCAATTGAATATTTCTTGCTATTGTGCAATACTGTACAATTGACAATTTCTTGCTATTGCGCAATATTGTGCTATTGGATATTTCTTGCTATTGCGCAATACTGTGCAATTGAAGATTTCTTGCTATTGCGCAATACTGTGCAATTGAAGATTTCTTGCAATTGTGCAATACTGTGCAATTGAAAATTTCTTGCTATTGCACAATACTTATTATATAATAATTTACACATCCTGTTTGGTGTGTAACTCCTACCATATCATTATTATTTGCTTTTAAATATTAATCAGAAATAACCAACTTAAAATGGAAAATTTTAAAAGAAAAAAAAAAGGAAAAAAAGAAAAAAAAAGAAAAAAAAAAAATCCCCCCCCCCCAAATTTTTTGAACCCCCTTATGATTCATCACCCCCAAACTCAATCCCAGCCTTCCCTTTGTGGTATGGTACCTTGCAGTACAATTTCAGAGAGATCCATACACTTGAACACAAGTTATTGTCTGGAAACTAGAAAAATGCTTATTTTTGGCCCCTTTTTGGCCCCCAATTCCTAAACGTTTCGGGCAATTACCCCCAAACTCAATTCCAGCTTTCCCTTTGTGATATGGAACCTTGTAGTACAATTTCAGAAATATCCAAACACTTACACACAAGTTATTGTCATGAAACTAGAAAAATGCTTGTTTTTTGCCCCTTTTTTGGCCCCTAATTCCTAAAATTTTGAGGCAATTACCCCCAAAATCAATTACAGCCTTCCCTTTGTGATATGGAACCTTGTGGTACAATGTCAGAGAGATCCATACACTTACACACAAGTTATTGTCTGGAATTACAAAAATGCTTATTTTTGGCCCCTTTTAGGCCCCTAATTCCTTAACTGTAGGTACCATAACCCCCAAAATCAATCCCAACCTTCCTTTCGTGGTATTGAACCTTATGGTAAAATTTCATGGAGATCCATTCACTTAAACTAAAGTTAGAGTGCGAAAACCAATGTGTCTTCGGACGACGCCGGACGACGCCAGACGACGACGACGACGACGACGACGACGACGACGACGACGACGACGACGACGCCAACGTCATACCAATATACGACCAAAAAATTTTCAATTTTTGCGGTCGTATAAAAAATAAATCGGGAATGTGTCCATGGGACACAGATGATGCCCCTGCATGCATATAACTTTATAAAGGGGGCACAACTTTAGAACCATAAAAGTGACACCACCAAAATTCAAACTTGATCTGTGTTTTGTGGTAATAAGCGTTGTGTATAAGTTTCATAACATTTGGTTGAGGCAAACTAAAGTTAGAGAATGGAAACCATTTTCGGGATGTACTGACAAACGTACAGACAAGGGTAATACATACTTGTAATTAAGACAATAACTATTGAGCCTGAATCACTCACCAAGGGTTGTCATTTTGTTTAGAAATAACAGATTGTAGTTTAAACAAGCATTCTGAGAGTATTGCATGGCAATACATAGTCTCCTACTGGTTAAAAATTCGTTGTTCTGGAACAAAATGCTAACTTGATCTATAACTTGTCATGGTGTAAACTATATAAAATGCTTCGCTGGGGCGCAGCTTGATACGACCGCAGAGGTCGAACCCTGAACAGTTGGGGCAAGTATGGACACAACATTCAAGCTTGATACAGCTCTGAATTTGGATTGTTATTAAATATTTGACACAGCATAGGTTTCTGACACAGAAAGAATGTGGTCTAAGAACTTGAATTTTTTTAATTTACCTATTATGGTCCAATGTCCAAAATCAAAATACATGGTTAGATTCAGCATATCAAAGAACCCCATATATTCAATTTTTGTTAAAATCAAACAAAGTTTAATTTTGGACCCCAACTTGGACAAACTTGAAAACTGGGCCCATAATCAAAAATCTAAACACATGTTTAGATTCAGCATATCAAAGAACCCCAAGAATTCAATTTTTGCTAAAATCAAACTAAGTTTAATTTTGGACCCTTTGGACCTTAATGTAGACCAATTTAAAAAACGGGACTTAAAATTAAAAATCTAAATACACGGTTAGATTTGGAATATCAAAGAACCCCAATAATTCAATTTTTGATGAAATCAAACAAAGTTTAATTTTGGACCCTTTTGACCTCAATATGAACCAATTTGATAGCGGGGCCCACAAATAAAAAATCTAAATTCATGGTTAGATTCAGCATATCAAAGAACCCCATATATTCAATTTTTGTTGAAATCAAAAAAAGTATAATTTTGGACCCCAACTTGGACCAACTTGAAAACTGGGCCCATAATCAAAAATCTAAACACATGTTTAGATTCAGCATATCAAAGAACCCCAAGAATTCAATTTTTGTTAAAATCAAACTAAGTTTAATTTTGGACCCTTTGGACCTCAATGAAGACCAATTTAAAAAACGGGACCCAAATTAAAAATCTAAAAACACGGTTAGATTTGGCATATCAAAGAACCCCAATAATTCAATTTTCGATGAAATCAAACAAAGTTTAATTTTAGACCCTTTTGACCTCAATTTGAACCAATTTGATAGCGGGCCTACAAATAAAAAATCTAAATACATGGTTAGATTCAGCATATCAAAGAACCTCATATATTCAATTTTTGTTGAAATCAAACAAAGTTTAATTTTGGACCCCAATTTGGACCAACTTGAAAACTGGGCCCATAATCAAAAATCTAAATACATGTTTAGATTCAGCATATCAAAGAACCCCATATATTCAATTTTTGTTGAAGTCAAACAAAGTTTAAATACTGGACCCTATCTTGGACCAACTTGAAAACTGGGCTCATAATCAAAAATCTAAACACATGTTTAGATTCAGCAAATCAAAGAACCCCAAGAATTCAATTTTTGTTAAAATCAAACTAAGTTTAATTTGGACCCTTTGGACCTCAATGTAGACCAATTTAAAAAACAGGACCCAAAATTAAAAACCTAAATACACGGTTAGATTTGGAATATCAAAGAACCCCAATAATTCAATTTTAGATGAAATCAAACAAAGTTTAATTTTGGACCCTTTTGACCTCAATATGAACCAATTAGATAACGGGGTCCACAAATAAAAAATCTAAATACATGGTTAGATTCAGCATATCAAAGAACCCCATATATTCAATTTTTGTTGAAATCAAACAAAGTTTAATTTTGGACCCCAATTTGGACCAACTTGAAAACTGGGCCAAAAATCAAAAATCTAAATACATGTTTAGATTCAGCATATCAAAGAACCTCATATATTCAATTTTTGCTAAAATCAAACAAAGTTTAATTTTGGACCCTTTGGACATTAATGTAGACCAATTTGAAAACTGGACCCAAAATCAAAAAATCTAAATACACTGTTAGATTCGGCATAACAAATAAATAAATGTGATCAAAGATTTTACAAATCTAATGCGCCATACTGTGCAATTAAAGATTACTTCTTGAAATTTTTCAATATTTGAAATTTGAAAAAAAAATAATATTTGAAGAATAATTCTTTTTAATTTCTGAAATCTGAAATGAGAAAAAATTGGCCCCCCACAATTTCTTTTTATCCCCCCCCCCCTTTTTCCCCCAAAAAAATTCTTTCCCTCAAGATATGGTCATAATCTCAATTCAAATTTCCAATGGAGTTGGCAACCATAATTACCCATTTAAATTTACCATAGTGCTAACTTAATCTATTTTATAATAGAATTAATAAAAATATAGTGTCAAATCTTTCATATGGATTTTTTTGTAAAAAAAAAAGATGAAAACATTTGCAGATATTTTTACTGGTCTTCCTTTATAAATATGCATTTCTTTAAACATAATTTAAAAGCAGTGTAAGGGAAGTAACCAAAACATTGTATTTGGATTACCTCCCTTACACTGTTTTAGATTATCTTTATTGTTCATTAACCATTACTTTATACATAATTTAAAAGCAGTGTAAGGGAGATAATTTCAATGATGTATTTGATTTATCTCCCTTACACTGCTTTAAATTATGTTTTGTACTAAAGTATTTGTCCATTAACCAGGACAACCTTGTTTTTCCCCCTTTTTTGCCCCTAATTCCTAAACGGTTTGAGCCATAACCCCCCAAAGCAAATCCTAACCATCCCTTTGTGGTATGGAAACTTGTAGTATAATTTCAGAGAGATCCATACACCGTTCCACAGTTATTGTCTGGAAACTAGAAAATGCTCATTTTTGGCCCCTTTTTGGCCCCTAATTCCTTAACTGTTGGTACCATAACCCCCAAAATCAATCCCAACCTTCCTTTTGTGGTATTTAACCTTATGGTCAAATTTCAAAAAGATCCATTCACTTAAACTAAAGTTAGAGTGCGAAAACCAATATGTATTCGGACGACGACGCCGGACGACGACGACGACGACGCCGGACGACGACGACGACGACGACGCCAACGTCATACCAATATACGACCACAAAATTTTTTTGCGGTCGTATAATAACAAATATCAAGTCAATATCTTCAAGCATGACGAAAAAAAGTGTGGAAAACTGATTATTTGAGTGAATTTTCTAAGTCTAAGGACCATAACTCTGCAC